TAATACTAATACTAATACTAATACTAATACTAATACTAATAATAATAATAATAATAATAATATAAAAATTAATATAAAAAATATAAAAAATATTAACTTAAAATTGAATAATAACAACACCCATAAAGAAATAAAAAAAAACCATTAGTGAGAAACGATATACAGTATGTATGTTTTGTAATTAATGTAAGAGAAACAATTGAGACCCTGCAATTGTGTGTAAATGAGGCAGAAAGTCAGATCAGCAACCTGAGACTTGGTCACGATATTTGTGATGTCATATGGCAGCAGGGTCTACCATTATGCTTCCAATATCTTGCCAGGCGGAAGTACCTTGTAGTGGATTTCTCCCCTACAAACGCTGTTTGTCGCTGCGTAGCCGACCCCACGAATACCACAGTGTGTGCCTCGTGGTCTAGGTCAACCAGCGCCGCCCTACATCACGGAGCGGGGGTCAACTACTAAGCCACGCCTACCCCCGCTATTTAAGACCTGACCTCGTGGTGACCTGCCTCTTTCTGCCGACACCAATCAGCCAGCAACACCACCTCCTTCGCCTGCCTGGCGGTCCTCGCTCCCGCCGGCGAGCATGGCGACCCACAAGCTGGTCCTCCTCTGAGCATCCTCACCAACCAGCTCTCTCTACATCACACTTGTAACCATGCTGACTTCCCAGCACCAAGCTGCATTGTACATCCAATACATGTATACATGAGAGCACATTGTGAGTTTCCTTTCTCCATCCCATCCTGAGTGTGAACCAAACATCATTAACCCCACAACCTCCTTGTTTGACAGCTACGTACTACCTACTACCTGTGTGCCTTCTACCTAAACTAGTACCCTGTACAATAAATCACTAACATCTATAACAGAGTGATGAGGATAATAAGGGTCCAGCACTTTTATTTATTGTGTCCTGGCCACCATTGCCTTAGAACTCGGAACAATTTACAGTCGCCCAAACAGGTGAAGGAAGGGAGTGTGTAGATGAAGGAAGGGGAGTGTGTAGGTGAAGGAAGGGGAGTGTGTAGGTGAATAGAGTATTGATATCTCAAACAGTGGCGTGCGAGCTAACCTAACCCAAGGGGGTTTTGTCTGGACCCCGTAAGTGTGCGTGTGTCTGTGTATGTGTTTTGGGTTTACATAACATTCCCACCAAGACTCACCTCACCCTTCGATATTCTTTCTTGAGGCATTACAAAATTATATTGCTCAAGTCCAAAGTTGGTGTAGTATACATTTTCATGTACCGAGTAATTTACCTCTGTACGTTAATTATTTTTACAATAGACAATTCCATTCCTGGGTGGAGGGGAGGGGGGTCCTCTGAGTGCCTAATTTTGTGAGTTAATGAAATGCATTCATTATCTAATGGTGTCATGATACTTTGTAAAAGTGTTCCCTAACCACACCGACAATACAGTGTCTAAAGTTGGTAGATTCAGTACAGTTAGTTGTCAATAAGATTCTGTACACCTTTGAGAAAGTGGCAAACTCTTGATGTCAAGTTTGGTTTGGTTAAATTAGATGAATTTATTTTATTCAGGTTTTCCTATACAGTAGTTCCTCATCAATCGCTGATGTTAGGTCCTGTAAACCCTGTAGTTGGCAAGACTAAAGGCTTATGGGAAATAGAGGCTTAGGTTCCACAGCTGTGGATAACACTAATCAAAGGCAAACCAAGTAACCTATTCCTTCACAATACCTTTGCCTCAAAACCAAAACTTTTCCTTCTTCTTGGAAGCATGCCTCAGTTCAGCCCATCCCGAAGAAGGGTGACCATTCCAATCCCTCTAACTATCGCCCCGTTGCCCTAACTTCAACCTTCTCTAAGATTTTCTAAACTATTTTAAACTCATTTTCTCCGTCACCTTGAACGCCTTTCTCTTTTGTTGGATCACCAGGTATGATTTTTGCCAGGCGAGATCTACTGGTGATCTGCTTTCTTACCACACCCACCTTAGGTCATCCTTTCTTAGGGATTATGGGGAAATTTTCGTCGTGGTCCTTTACATCTCCAAAGCATTTGACAGGGTATGGCATAAGTCTTTGTTTTCTATACTTCCCTCTTATGGTTTCTCTCCCCCACTTTGTTCTCTAATTTCAAGCTTCTTTCAGAACCGATCCATGGCAGTTGTTGTCGAAGGATCGATCTCTTGCTCTTTCACTACCAATAGTGGTGTCCCACAGGGTTCTGTTCTTTCACCTACTCTCTTTCTTTTTTTATCAATGATTTACTACACACTACGACTAATTCTATCCATTCTTACGCTGATGATTCTACTCTTCACTCTTCTTCACATTTTCCCTTCCCCCTAATTCTCAAACCAGATCTGTTTCTAGAGCTCATATCATTTCATCTATCAATGAGGATCTGTGCAGCATCTCCGAATGGGGACAGTAGAAACTTGGTTAAATTCAATTGTAATTAAACACAGTATTTACCAATTACACTTTCCAAATTAGATGATCTCCCACCAATCACATTTCAGGATGCAATCATTTTGCCAAATTCTAAAATAGATATGCTAAGCCTCACCATTTCCTCTAATATGTCATGGAAGCCACACATCCACAAAATTGCTAAAGCTGCCTCCCAAAAGCTGGGAATGCCTTACAGATTCCATAGCTACTTCACTCCTGAGCAGTTGCTTCTAGTTTATAAGGGATTCATTCGTCCTAACTTGGAGTACTGCTCTCATATCTGGGGTGGCTCTTCTTCTGTCTAACTGTTAGATAGGGTGGAATCAAAAGCATTTCGTCTTATTAACTTTACTCCTTTAGTTGATAATCTCTCTTCCCTTTCTCTTCGTTGCAATGTTGCTTCACTCTCTCTCTCTCTCTTACAGTAGGGATGGGATATATAGAGATTTTTTATAAAGATTTTTTTATTTCGCGACTCCCAAAATTATTAAAATTTTCCAATACTGTACGTATATAGCGATAAATTTATTTATTTCGCAAGGGAAATCAGGCAGGAAATACTTAAAATTTAACGCCATGGCAAACAAATACAGTGAACCCTCACTTTACACGGTTAATTCAGCCCACGGCGGCCCGCGTAAAGTGAGAAACGCGTAAAGTGAACAACATAACATATGGGATTAATTGAAATAGAGACCAGGCCGACCCCCAAACTCCACTTTTTCAGACACAATACCTACGTTGTAGTAAAAATAACTTCTTAATTTTATGATGGTATGCACACACAATTAATAATTAAGAGAAATATCAATAATATTAGGTTTTTTAACACTTACATTAGTAGAAAAGATGGCTGGGCACACGGGGATGGGGGGTTGGTTCTGAGGCAGAGGGCAGATTATTGGCCCTCACCTGTATCACTTGTATCAATTGTATCGCTATCCACCACAGAGGCTTGCAGGGCCTCTTTGTCAAACCCCTCAAAGTCCATATAAGTCCATATCCTCACTATAATTATCACTATCACTGACTTGGGCCGGCTGTGGTGGGTGGCGGGTGAAGAACTCGGTAATGTTTTGATGACTGGGCGACCTTGTGCGCACCCTGCTCGCGCCGCTCTCCGCGTAAAGGGGTACACGCACCGCGGAAAGTGAGCATTCCGGTTTCGGCAGGGTACCGCGTAAACGCGGAATATGGGACCGCATAAACCGAGGGTTGACTGTATGTTATTTGCTCATCAGAGGCACCACCGTGGCTGCTCACTCACGCATTCACGCTCGTCCCGGTCACCCGCACAGTCTTTCTGAGTGAGTGACGAGTAAGCAGCCGACTCTGCTGCAGATTACGACTTCTAAGGCGAGTGTAAATGGGTTGCTAGTGACGTGAAAAGTGAAATAAAGAGAATGGAAAGCTTAATGGAAAAGATTTAATACTGTAACTAATATTTTCGGTTTCTTCGTTTATGTAGGGGTGGGATTGCCAAGTGAGGGTGGCAGTGTGGCGTCTGTTGCCGAGTCTGGTGTTCCCGGGATGGTGCGACAGCTGCCGAGTCTGGTGTTCCTTGATATTGAAACAGTCTGTTGTTCCTGAGTCTAGTGTTCATTGGTGCTTTAGTTAGCAAGAAAATAAACTCGTTAAGTCAAGTTTAGTCACCTTTATTGGCCTCCAGAACCTAACCCTATTTTCCCCATTGATTACATGTAATTAAATATCGAGATTTAGTATATAGCGAACATCCTTTGACCCTATCTCGCGATATAGCCCGACCATGCTGTAGTACTGTACTGTACTTTAATAGGTAATGTTCGGTGGATTTGGTGTCCTGTGTACCGCCGGCAAGGCCGTAGGCTCGTAACACTCGTCTTGCCCACAGTGCCCATCATTTCTCTGTGGATGTCGGTCACAATAGAGTAACCCGTTAGAGTGCATCCTTCTTTCCTCACACAGCCAAACTGTAGAATGCTCTGCCTTCTTCTGTGTTTCCATACTCATACAATCTGTCTCGCTTCAAAAAGCAGGATTTCCGGCATCTTCGTCGTATAGATTAAAAATCTTTGTCTTTTTGATGTTAAAATTCCTTTTACTCTTATTTTTTCACACCCTACACCCCATTGTGGGTCGATGACCTGTGCCCAGGTGGGCACGTTAATGGAATCAATTTTTCCCAAAAGACATAGATAAAATATGGGAGTTAAGTTCCCAGCCTCCCTTTGCCCCATAAAATACATTACATATACATAAAGTCAATGGAATTTAAAAAAAAAATAGTATTATTATACTTCCAAAAAGATAAATAAACTAAATCATTTTGTATTGTACTCACTGATGGGCAGAGGTGGAGCAAGTGTGTGGTGGGTAGTGGAGAGGAGGAGGATGGCGCGTCACTAAGACCCGGAGGGTGGCTCCTCCTCCCGCTACAACTGAATGACTCCTGTGCATCCTTACACACATACAACTTGCCATATCAGTAGACCCCTACAACAGGACATCCACTCACACATATAATGTACTCTCTCACTCCAGTCATTCACTCGATAAGTTTCCCACCCTTGTAAGGGAAATAAAACAATTAATTTAAATGCGTCATGATTAAATAAAAATAAGCCATATATATACCGGTATATCCCAAGTGTTAAAGTACAGTACAGTACTGAACTACATTTACCATTTAAAATCTTAAACTACTTAACAATTCCCCTGAAAAAAAAAAACATCTACTGTAGTCTAAAAAGTGAGAAATTATTAAGATGATCATTTTATTTCTCAAATTGGGTTTAATTTCATATACCATATCACAATGATTGAATCTTCAACTATGGTATGTCACCTATGATGGCCAGAGGAGTTTACTCTTCACTGATCAACATAATATGGTGTAGGTTCTAATAAAACTGTTGAAATACTTGAACTGCTTTTCTATTCATGCATGAGAAGGTGTAAGTTGAAAACATAATACACCTCAAGAAAAAGAATATTCTACAATGAACTTAACCGAGATAAAAATTTCATAACAGGTCTACACAAACATGAGGACAACTTATAGTATGTTTTTTGCTTCAAGTGAAATGTCTTAATATGAAATGTACTTTAAAAACTGTACTGTATATGACAAAGTGAAAGCTGCTTCTTCACCAAATAATCTACCAAAATGTTCCTTTCTCTCATACGTTTACAGTACAGTGCATTACAAGAAATATAGTTCTTTCACTGCTCCATCCTTCTAATAACATTCTCCAACTTCTACAAATTATATCTGAAGACCTTTAGTATCCCTGCTACATCTCTTTCACAAAAATCCTGTCACCTCTCCCCTTAAACCATGAACCTCAAGATTCAGACTCGTGAAACTAAAGCATTTATGGACAGAATAATGCATCATATCTACTGCTTTGGGGTCATGACTTTGAATCTCAGTGTTCGTGGAATGGCAAGAGAGGCAACAGGACTTTTGTGGGTAACATGTAACTAATATACTGTACAGTATTTTCTTTTAGTAAATTTTTGGTGAAAGTTAACTTTCCTAAAAAATAGTTGTACTGTACAGTACCTTGGCATTATGCTATTATCCACACTTTTTAGTGTTACTATAGCGTGCAGTCTTCAAGATATTTAGGTTAGGTTAGGATGGTTGGATTGGGTTGGGTTGGGTTAAACTAATGATATCTTTGTAGACCAAATGCTAAAGTAGCACCTACTGTGATACAGTATGAATTAAATATTATCTTATGTTTGTGAGTTACTGATATACGGTAAACAAGTAATTACGGTTTGTTAATATTAAATCTAATATCCTTCATTTGCTCATGGAGGCTAACTTGACCACACAGGAAGCCAGAAGACTATATCCCAACTAAAAACATTCAAATTCTCCCACTCCTTTCTACTCTTACACCTTTTTCCATTTACTAGATTCAAAACAGGTTGATATTTGAAAATTTTTCTCCCAAGGTGTCAACTACCCGGTACTTGGCCATCTCAACATCCTCTAGTGGTGAAAATACCAACAATAACACAATTATACTTTAGTGAACACTTCTGCATTTGTCTGAGGTATCCATCAAGCATAGGGGGTCAACACTCATTTACACAGAGAAATAAGCAATCTATCATAAGTGAATCCAACACTGCTCATCTGGGGATAATTCTCTTATACATTGACAGTAACAAAATATATTATCCTAAAAAATTAACTTCATTTTTGTAACTGAAATTTATCAAATGGTAAAGTCAACAAAAGTTCATCTCTCGGTCCCAGGAAGTTCGTAGTTTTCCCTGGGAGCTTTTGACCGAGACACTATATAAGCTATGTAACTCAACAGTTTGATTTAGATTAATTTATTTTCTTATTGGTATATACTGTATGCAAAAACTGTACAAATGAGAATAAGTTTCTATAGTAAATTGGGGGTTACATTCACAGCCACAGCCAAAGTTCACTTTCTGGCTATGTCCTGAACTGTATTAAGTTTTCATGTATACACTAATAGCATTTCAATAACTAAATACAGTACAGTAGTAAAAAATTAATTGAAAGGGTTTTAGAGAGGAGTATACTCTACTCATCAATACTTTCTGTTGTTTTCTGCCTGAGAGGCTAATATTAGCTGAGTGTTGTGAACTACATGGTCTGTGAAGAAAGAGAGGTGTATAATTGTAAGGGTGATCATAAGGTAGTGGTAACGATATGAGGATTGGAGATGACAGCTGCCCTGGTGGGCTAAGAGTGAGTGTGTGATGGCAAGGATAATGGAGACTTAGTACCAATGGAGGTTGAAAAAGAAGTCTTGAAAAACTGTGTTAAGGTTGCCTGTTTTCCTGTAGACAGCTTCTCAATACACCTTCCTGTATGCAGAAACACTTCCAATCTGAAAACTTCTCTCAAGGTTAAGATCCATATCAATCCCTTCCTGGATTACTTGGTAAATGAGTACAAAGTAATATGCCAGTCTCTTCATCATCAGCTAGTCCTGTTAAGTAATTTTGTTCTGCTCAGCTACCTTCTCTTCCTCCAGCCATGTCATCTCTACCAAATCTTCTAGAGTCAATGTCTTCACATGATGGTTGAGCAGATCTACCACATCACCTTCCAGATCCTCAAACCCCACACTTTGACCAAGGTCAGTTGCTTGTACCATTTCTATACACATGTCACTAGGACAAACAAAATGACTGGGTTACCAAATAATGTAGGTATCTAAATAACTTAATATCTGATGGGTTTGTATTGCACAGAAATATTAATATATACTATACAATACAATAACAACATGTGCAGTATATAAGCAGAGTGGTGAGGCTGTGCATGTGTGTATCTGATGAACATAAACAAATTCTTACATACTGTATATTTAATGTAATTTCTGGTTGGTTGGTTGACATTGAACAAATTAATACAATCTAAGAATATGGTGTTGAAGGAGTTACCATAATATGCAAGTATGGGACCATTTATCCGGAATGCTTGGGACCTGGGGATTGCGAAATGTGTTTTTTTTTTTAAGGAATTTGGAGTGCCAGGCCTAAAGATTTACATAATTTGTTTCAGAACATAGGCCGTTTTTGGAGCGTTCCAGATACCGGGACGCCAGATAAATGGTTCCATACCTGTATAATTATTTGGGTGAATATGTTTTTCTACTAAGTATGGAATGAACAAAGACATTAATATTTTTTTACAAATGTACTATAGAAGATATAAACCTATGATCACTGAAGGTAGCTGGGTAAGTTACTGAGCTGTACAGTATTTCATATTTTAATGTTAAAAGTAAATTAAAGCTTCAGCAGTACAGCAAACCCTCCATAAAGTATTACTCAAACAAATGGTGTGATTTTTAGCCCAGTGAGTGTTACAGGCATCTTAGGTTGGGAGCAGTGAGGCTGTGAGAGAGGGAGTTGGCAAGGATTTGCAACTGAATGTGTGTGAACTTTAGCCAGGATAAACAAAATTTGGCGGTAAAAAGTAAACCCCATAAAGTACATGCAAATCTAGTTCTTTTGAAGTGGATATAAATGAGAGCAACCTGTACTTGTATTTTCAAAAAGGTTCAGCCTAGTGTATAGTGTGTTGTATCTACAGGACTATAGGACCCACTTTTACTTGAAGCTAATGTGGAAGAATAATGATGACCACCTTTCATTTAAGTGGTGTAAAGAAAACCAGCAGCATGGCGGTGCCAACAAACTGTGTTGCATCTTATGAAAATCTTGCACAGTACAGAAGAGAAAGTAAGAAAACAATAGATAAGTTGAAGCACAGAGAAACTATCAGTTATCGCACTCTTCAAAGCATAAATATTGCATAAAATGTGTAAAAGATCACTTAGAAATTAGTGGCAATAGAGCTAGGGAATAGAACAACACTACAGTATGCCTCTCCACCATGATATAGTAACAGAACCAAGTGACCCCAGACTCAGGCTTAAGACATATTTTGTAACCCTAAATTCGAGAAATTGTTTAAAATTACTGTGGCTTCTAGTTTTGGAGGTGTAAGGATTTTCTGACCACTGCTTATTGTCTTTCTTTTTTTTTATGCATGAACCAATTTAATATAAAACATTAGGAACTCTGTTGGTAACTTCACAGCTAAATATGAAGATGGTTTAAAGCCACTTTTTGTAGGTCTTTAGTACTGATGTCACACACTGAAGAGCCTTTGGAATTGATGTCTGAATAAATGCTAAGCTGGCTGCCTCCTGATGGTGACCTGCATTCTCCAACTGGTGTACTGCAGATTTCAACAAAGTCTTATCCCCAGCCTCCATCTAGTTTTTTGTAAAAGAAAAAAGAAAAAGTAAAGATATGAAATAGCAAATAAAACCAACAAAATTGTTACGTACCTTATTAAAACTATATATGTGTTATTACTGTAAGTCTAATAAGTATTCTATTGTGACCTTCCTATTGACCTCACACATGATGGAAGAAAACTTCTCCAGTAAAATTAGATAATTTTATAGTAAGAGGACATCTGATAACTTAAATAAAATGTATTAATAATAAATCTGCATGTGGATGGCATTCTGTTTATGTACAGCAAAGAAACTCCTTAAAATTGAAAGGGAATTTTCATGTGTTCAAAAAATAAAAGCCAAAGAATTAATGCTGACAAAATAAATGGGTTGGTACTTATGGCAAGAGAATTACAAAGTGAAATACCATTTGATGGTGAGAGGAAACAGAATTCTTTAAACATCATTATATGGGGAAACAGTTTTTACGAAGAAGAATGAATGTTTACAATAGAAAGTTAGAACATACCAAGTGAGCAACAAGTGGTCCATACAGTGGTGTGGGCAGCAACACAGGCACCAACTCACGTGAGATCACCCCGGAAAGTAAGTCTCCATCATAGTCAGATTCCTTCACCTGGAATGCAACAATGAATGCTTAAAACTTTTATAAATTATAAATGAAGCAATCAATATAAAATTACTGTACAACAAAACAGTAATTCAAATATTTCATACAATTCAAATATATTCTACACCAATAAATAACTGATACTGCTATTCAGTCTAGTGCAGACAATCGAAAGCAAATCACAGAGATATTTTAATCAGAGTATCGTAAATAGTCATGGGAAAAATCATGGTAAAAAGGAATGATTAAAGGCAATTTTTGGTGGGGGTGAAGTAAATAAATAAATTGAGAGAAGGTAGAGAATAAACGTAAGGGAGTGAAGACCACATGTACAAAATTATGGACTACGTACTGTATACAAGTATTGTTGTTTGGAAGTGAACTGTATTACTGTCTAGAGTGGCTTTGTGTCCCATTCAGTCAGGTTGATGGTTATATGTAGGTACCCTGTAGCTCACTTACCTCTTTAATAGATTCCATATTCTCTATCACAGCTGCATGAACTGCTGCATCATCAGAAAGCAGCGCCACCTTAGAACTACACTTAACAGCCACCCGTCCTAGAATTTGCAGTTTCTTCACCAACACAATGTGATTTTTACCAGGCAACTAAAAGATGAGAAATGCATAAATTTTAATGTAGTTATATTTGAATATGAAAAAAAATAAATTTTGTGAAAATTATATTCAGAATGTGAAGCAGGACAAGAATATATATCTTCAACAGTACAGACTTTAGAGGTGTGAGTATTTTATTGTTTAACCTTCATAAAAAAGTATCTTCAAGCACCACATAGCTATCATACATACATTAACTGAAACAGAATGGCATTATGTCAGGAGCACTTCAAACAGTCAAACTACAATTAGATGCTAATTAAAACACCCTCGACCACTTCTTAATAGTTGTGTTACACCTGAAAAATAATGACAGCTCACTGACCTGGTCAAGATGAAATGCCTCCTGAGATGCCTCCCAAATGATATCCAGTCCACCTAATGGCTTGTCTTCACTCATCTCCAAAATCTTGTTAAATACAGCAAGCCAAGGATTTGACAGCACATCCACATATTTCTGACATGAGGACCAAATTGCAAAGATAATATGTTTATATCAACAAATAAATGAAGAGCATTTCAAAGGATTTTCCAAAATATTTCTGAAAATACACTTAAAGTCTCTTTCTAGTGAGAAATGTACCTAAATGACCTTTTATGGCTTTTCCTGCTATGATGGAGGAAGTGTGTGCAGCTGCCACATGTAGTTACATTATTCTGAGGGACTCCATCACCATTACTGATGAAAATTCCTGTACTGTACTAGGAACAATAAATATTTTAACTCTACACTATTAAACAAGTACCCTTTGCTATACGAACATTAGCTCTAAGAATATTTGCTTTTAAGAATATTCTATTCTTACACCTCTTTCTTACTACAGTAGCACCCATAATTCAGCACCTACAGAGATTGAGAGGTGCTAGATAAAGAGATTGTCTGGTTAGTTGAACCTCACTCTTAGATCCCAACAAATCTTACAATGCAAATTCATGTCTCAGAAAAAATGGACGTCTTTAGCTTTTATTCCACTCTATATAAATGATGTGGCTTAGAAATACAGAAAATATAAAATAAAATAAAAATAAGAAAAATGTAGAACATGGGTGTACTGTATATGTGTGGTAACTGAATGCGTATGAGGCGGCGGGATTTAACTATGTTGCTGACTCGCCAGTCCAGCCACCTCGTATATTGTTACTTGTAATGAAACTACAGTTAAAGTCCAAAAATCCGGATGCCAGAAATCAGGACCACCCGAGAATCCGGACTTTTCAAAAACTCAATTTTTTTTTTAAATTTACCTGGCTTTTGTGTGTATGTGCGCATGCGTGAGCACCACAGCTGCACAGTGACAACAAGCAACCACACAGTCGCCACTTTAAAAAGAGCAATCAAACTGTGACAACGTACCGGGTATGTAATTTTGAGTCCTACTCTTTCCATTTACAGAGTACTGTACAAGCCCATAACAATGGCTCCTAAAGTAGATAAACTTCGTTGTGTGAAGAGAAGAGAAAGAAGAACACGTTGAAATTGAGTGACAAACTTGAAATAATTAAGAAACTAGAACGTGGTGTGAGCAATACTGTTCTAATGGAAACATATGACATTGGAAAGTCTACAATTTATGATATAAAAAAGGCAAAGAATAAAATTCTAGAATTCACAGCTTTTTCTTTAAAACTGCTCGTTTTGATAAATGAAGCATGCTATATTTGCTAATGAATAAACTATCAAAATGTACCTGTTCATCTCTTCTTTATTCCTCCTTAAATTTGAATTTTAAAAGTACTGCCTGAGAATCCGGAAAATCCGAAAATCCGGATCGACCCAATCCCCAAGCAGTCCGGATTTTTGGACTTCTACTGTACTGTATAAAAGTTGTGGAAAAGTCATTACAATACTCTGATGTGGCTTAGAAATAAAGAGTATAATATAAAACTATAAAATTAGAAAAATGAAGAGCATGGGTGTGTCTGTATGTGGAGGCGGTTGGCTATAACTGTGGCGTCACAACATATACACAGTGCGGTGTGGCAGTCACACATTTGTGAGTCAGCTGAATGACTGCCTAGCTTAACTGTGTCATGCTGCCCAGAGGATTGTTTAAGTATTTTATGATATGCTATGTATTGTATCAAATTTATTGTTTATCATAGAAATAAATATGGCAGCTCATCAACACTGAAACTACAATTGTAGCTGATTTTGGAGAAATTTTTATAATTAATTAATAAATTTTGGTGCCAGTTAGTTGAATCTGCCGGTTACCTGAACTCTGGATAACCAGGGTTCTACTGTATATGAAAGCTATTTTTGCTTAAAAATAATTAATGGTCCCTTAAGGTAATGTAGTACAAATTGAATTTTTAGATATAATATAGGAATTTTCTTGTCACTGGTAAACCGAACCGAATTTTTCCCATATATTATTTTATTCACCATGTGAATATTCAATTAACAAATGGTTTTCAAGGATCCTGACCCATTCGTCATATAGTGAGGGATATCTGTACCAATTCTGATTAATAAATGAAAGAAATAAATGTTTTTTTGATAAAAATTAATTAAAAAAATATAATGTACACAAGTTACTGTACATTTATCCCCCCAAAATGGAAGGCAGATTCAGCTGGACATGCCTCTTACCGCAAGAGGCTTGCAGTCACTCTGAATCTGAGTGCTTTGAAATTCCGTATTAAGCACATAATTGCGAGGGAGCAGCACCTTTTTCTAGCTTTTAAATCACCTTTAACTTTTAGTTCACTGATAAGGTTTTAGGCTTAACCTTCTCACCACCCTAACTGACACCAAACACTTTCTTAGGGGCCATGGTTATTGTCTAATTTTTAAAAAATAATGCAAATATATGTATGCTACATCAGCCTACAACATAATCACATTACTAGCAATGTCAAATAAGTTTCAAAATAAAGTTCAGCATGACTATATGGCAATAAAACATAATCTATGGAGAGAGAGAGAGAGCCTAAGTGATGCTATCGCGGGCTATGCTAATTTATGACTGAGCGTGTGACGTTTGTCCCTTTATTTACCAGTGTGGATGGATCACGAAGTATGTCCGCCTTGTTCCCTTGAAATTTTGGCTTATGGCGGACATGTTTTCTTATGACAAATTATGTCCTACTTTTACTGTACAAACACAAGGAAATTATCCATATACTGTACCTCTGGACTGAATGGTGGCCAAAGTTTGAGTAGTTCTACCAGAGCTTGTGCTTGTTGTATGGAAGTAGTGTGGGTTATGAGTGTGGTTAGAAGAGCACCCCTTGTGTCACTGGAAGCCAGCTGTTCTTGTTCCACTGTCAGATTTAGGTCCTCCAGCCAGGCACCGGCCACCACTCCTCCGGTACGCATAACTCGCACCAGTTGCAGATCTTCTTCATTTAGAGATAAATGCTAGGAACAGGCAAAAAGCAAATCAGAAATAATATGGTACTGTTACAGCATAATTTTTTTTGTATCATTGCTAAGGTGTACAATACAAAAAGAACTAAACTATGACTGAACCCTTGATATCAAATTGTCATGCTTTACTTCAACATTATCTCACCTTTTCTGCCACAGTCAGCACCTTAACCTTGGTATTAAGAAGCACAGAAGAATCCTCACACAAGCTGCGTATTTCTTCAAGTACCTCCTCCTCTGCTAATAGTTCTCCACCATCCTCTAAGTAGTCATGCACTTGACTGAGGACGTGGTCTAAAATTTTCAGTGGGTCACAACCTTCTGTTATCACATTAACCTGAAGGTAGAAAAAAAAAAAACAATGGAGGACCGAGACAAAATCCAATGCCTTCATTGAGAGAAGAGAATCCAAAGCTATTAGCTCTCAAAGTTCCAGTAATGAACACAAGTTTTAAGTTTCCATTAACAAACTCTCTTAGTGCACTGTAACTTCTTCATTTCAGTCCTGGGAACAACATAATTAATCATAATAAAGTCTAATGTACATAAAAAAAAATGAGGTAGTTGTACTAGTGATATATGGACTGACAAAACAAAAGGTACAACACACCTGTGTATCATGACCCTTCCAGTGAGACAAGAGGAGCCTGAGGGTGTCCATTATGACATCTTCAGGTGTGGTGGTGGAGTCATCTGGGTACACACTCAGCACCTCCCGCAGCATCGCCATACTTGACCCCTCCAGTAGCACCGAACATGACAGTTCACGCAGCAGAGACTCACTGCTGCCAGTCTGGGCAAACTGTATAAATAATAAAAAAATAAAATAAAATAAAAAATACTGTATTAAGGTTTTTCTTTCATGTTCTCTATATCTTTTGATCTACTACCCTAACTTTCCCTTTTATGTTCCATTTACATACAGTATATACATCTCGACAGTCTCACTAATACTACTTTGTCTAATAAAATGTCAGACTTGTTTGCATTCATCATGAAATTTAGCTGTATAGATACTAGCTTAGGGGTTAATTAACACAGGTTTAGTTTATCCGATAATATGTAAATTTATACTTCCTCCATTCTCTTTACTTGGTAAGACTGGGGGTATAGTGGCCAAATTGGAACATTTGGCACCAGTCACCACAACATTGTTCTTCAGATTTAACTGTTACTTCTCTCATGACAAGAGCTGTCCAAGGTTCAAATATTACACAGGTGATTATGATGGGATGAGGGAAATTTATTGGCATGACTCATGTGAAACAAGAATGAACAGTGAGACCTCAGATATCTTGAATGCATAGGGAATTGAGTGTGCCGGATAATCGTTTTTTTTCTGGATGCTCTTATAAATACGCATCTCAATTTCAAGAACATGCCTGTCTTGGCATGCTGGATGGATGAGGCGATGATAGCGGTTACACCAGCACAAACATTCAAGTAAGCGGAACTATAATGGCGGCGCCCAGTGTGTTTGGACAACATGAAGGATGCGCACAGTGCCTCTAGTGGCCAGAAATGGAACCATGGGCAAAGTGACACTAAATTCAAACCAATTTTCTTAATTTTGTTATTTGTGATTACATATTACATTTTGCAAATTGACCCCACCAAAAAAATGCAGGTGGCTTCAGAGTTCTGGATGATTAAATGCCGGATATCTGAGGTTATAATGTATATACCCAAGACCAAGCGCATGGGCTCCAGGAATACAAGGAGACCATTACACATGAACCATGTACAAAGTTAAGAAAAAATCTCAGAAGTTCAAGAGATAGGTAATGACAAATGATGAGCAGGACAAGAGAATGTATGTCAAATCTAGAAACCAAGCAATGCCATAGTGCAGAAGGGCTGTAAAACAGTTCCAGAGGTAGAGTGGAAATGAGGTAAAGTCAAACCCAAAATCTTTCTATTATTATGCAAAATCAAAATTAAAAACACGTGTGGGCGTATTGGATCTAAGGTTTGAAGATGGTAGTTACACAGACTGAGATTAAGACAAAGCAGAGGCATTAAACAAATTCCTTTCCTAGCATTCACAAAAGATGATGTGAGCAATCTTCTGTATTTAATTAAAGACAGTTCAACACATCACCGATGTATAATGTGTTCTCAAAAAAGTGTATAAGAAACAAACTGTCAAAGCTAAGGTTCATAAGAGCCCTTGCCCTGACATGGTGCATCCCAGAGTGCTAAGAAAATTGTACAATGAGCTTGCTGACCCCCTTACGATCCTGTTCTGTAGATGTCTGGATGAGCAAAAGGTCCCCAGTGACTGGAAACTGGCTTATGTTAGTCCACGAATAATAATAGGCCAGTGAGCCTGACCAGCATACAGTGAGTTCTGCTATAACGCGTGTTTTGACAACGCGAATTGGCTCTTACGCGATTTATGAATAGAGGAACGATATTTGTATAACGCGAACACTTGTTTGCTGTAACGCGATTTTTGCTTACTATTTCTCCAATTTTGTGGTATTAACTGTGAATATGGTAAAGAAGAATATCTCCAAGAAACGTTCTGGTGATTGCATTCCCAGTGATGATCGTAAAAGAAAGGCTATAACCCTTGAAGAGAAGCTCGATGTTATCTACCTCAAAATCACCCTTCTCCCCCATCAAGTTATATTCATATTTTATCAAGGTAAAGTGTTACATTTACTGTATGATTTCATTATTAGATATGAATGTAACATTCATTTAGATTGTGCTATCCTTTGTGTTAGGCTAACTAATAAATTTTTTCGATTTCGAGTAGTAATCTGCACCTAACCCTATTTTCTCCATAAGCCCTGTTATTTCTATTACGCGAATTTCTATAACACGATGTTTTACAAGAACACAACTATCGCGTTATAGCAGAACTGACTGTAGTGTGTAAAGTTCTAGAGAGCATTATACGAGATGCCAAGATGTAACATCTACTATGAAACAACTTTGTAAAGGACTGCCAACATGGCTTTATGCTGGGATGCTCCTGCTTGGTGCAATTATTCAAGATGCTAGATGTTTGGACTCAGATTCTGGAACATGGTGGCAATATTGACAATATATATATCTGGACTTTGCCAAGGCTTTCAACAGCGTACCCCATGAAAGGCTGAGAATTAAACTGGAAGAGTACGGGATTCAGGGAAGTGTCCTAGCGTGGATCAGAGACTTTCTTCACGGCCACAAGCAGTGTGTGTGGTACGGCAGTGTACAGGGCCCATTGATGTTTGTTTTTTGTTTCATAAATTAAATGCCAAAAGCTATGCAATCCTCCATACAAATGTTTGCAAATGATGCAAAGTTATTCAGAGATGTTAAGAAACAAACGGACTGTGAAGTTCTGTGTCAGCTTCAAGAGTGATCGAAGGATTGGCTAAGATTCAATATTGTGAAGTGTAAGAGGATGCACTTAGGGCATACCAACAGTAAGGAGGCATATCACATGTCCCAACAGGATGAAGAAACAGTATTAACAGAGACTGAATGTGAAAAGTACCTTCTGTAGGTGTGTACGTTGATGAAGAACTGAAGTTCTCGGGACATTGTGAGAAGATGAATTAAGCAATTAAGTTGGTAGGTCTTATAAAAAAAGTCATTCAGATACCTAGACTGTCTGTCCCTCATAATGCTCTTCAAGAGTGAGGTGCTTCCCTGTTTGGAGTACAATACTGTCACCCCATCTGGTCCTTGAAATATGCTAGATAAAGACTGTCACCTCAGTTACCCAGAAAGATTAGTGTCTGCAGTTGCCCTACTTATACTATAGGCAGGCAAGGGGTGACTTAATTGAAATTTATAAACATCTCACAGGCCATTAATCAGTACCCACTCACTCGGGGTCACAGCTCAAGGTTGAAGAAGCCACGAGTTCAGAAAATTGCCAGGGTAAACTTTTTCAGAGTGGAAACTGTAAACTCTTGGAACCTTCTGTCAGAGAGTGTTGTGATGGCTCCAAGTGTGAGCTCATTCAAGACCAGACTTGACCAACACTGGTGCAGGTACAGATACATTCTGGAGCCAGTACTATACATGCCCAGTACTTGTGAATAGTGCGTAACAGAGATGTGACCAACTACCCAGGTGGCTAACAGGGCGATCAGTGGCAAAGATGATAAAGAAAGAAGATAAAGAATATAGTAAATACCAAAGATTAAATTCCAAATGATCCATAAACTAGGAGCACTCACCTTACTACCATAATTCTTAAGTAACTCATCATTAAAAGAACTTACCCTTGTGGCATAGCTCCTGAGCTGTTTGTCTTTACTCTTTTGCAGGTTCTGGAATGTACTAGAGCGCAGAAGGTCCAAATGTGTTCCCCACCGCTCAATTGTCCCTGACGCCTCCTGCCACCCACGACCATCATCAGCTAACTGTCAGTTGAGAAGAATGAAGTACAGAGTACCGATATTCACTGTAGGCACGCTAGTGAGATACCTGTTCTCTTGCTGGAATTAACTTCAGCCTATACATAAACTTAGAAATGGCTTGAATTGCAAAATTAAGACCTACTCTGTACATCAATAAAATTTGTGCTTGGAATCAAAGCCTTGATGACAAATATTTTCAAAAACTTTCAATTTATATTGGTCTGAATATAAGGTCTTGTTTTCTATCTGATGAACACCAGGTCAAACTTGCCATAACTGTAAATTAAATAATCAAGAATATTGAGAACTATAAGTTAATTTTAATTTTAATTACAATAATCATTTCTCAACTTATCAACTTACTAACTGTTTGGGAGGTTGGTCTGTTCTTTGTTACTTTTTGAGAGATCATGGGAAATTAGTATTTAAGCACAAAAAATACCTTAACAGTACAGTACAAAATATTATATTACATAATTATTAAAACATGTTTTATAGTTACTGCATGTATGATGATAACAAAAATATTCCGAGGCTAAGTATAACTCTACAATAATAAGTAAAATATTATCCTAGTTGGTATATGCGAGTGATAACAAGACACAATGAGTACCTAACCTGGGATACTGTATTGTAAGATGAACAACTTAAATCATCACAAAATCTGGATAGTTTTTAAACAGAGAGCTTCCTTGTGTGTCTCTTAATAGTTATCTTAATAATAACAAGTACTGTACAGTACATCATAGCCATCACATGATTCTCGGTAAAGATCACAGGAAAAGAAGTCACAGGATAAGAAAAAATCACAGAAAAGGATGTCACAGGTAAAAACACCACAAACAAGTCAAAATTTTTGCAGTGCTCCTGTGACTTTCCTTAAAAGAAAGGTAATTAGCTGAATCTTCTCTTGTAAGCAGGTAACAGTCACACATAAAAGCAGGTAAGAGTCACACACATAAAAGCAAGAAACAGATACAAACATATTAAAAGTAGGTAACAGTCATGTGCTTCCTTATTCTATCTTATAATGTTTTGAAAAGTCATTAAATTTGAGGTAAAGTTGTTGCCAACATATTATGAAATAAATAGCAATAAATAGCATACAATGAAAGTGATAGTCTGGAATGTTAAAACTCTTTATATTATACAATTTAAATACCTGTAGTTATGTTTGTGGGTGAGTACTAGGATGCTTAATTTATTCCACCATGCTATCATTTTTTATGCTCTAATATCAAGAGGTTTCTGTGTAGACCTGAGGGTGACTCCTTACTAGGCTTGATGGCAAGACAAGGTTAACAACAAAACTTATAAAGAAACTACAAATTTCACAGACAGACAGATAGCAACTGATCATTACCCTACACAGACTATATAATTGGTATAACAAAAGAGTACAGTAGTGTACATTATATAAAAAAGGAAAAAATCTATACAAACAAGGATAAATAGTGAAATGCAGTAAGACACATTGCTGGACTCATGCACCACTCACCATCCAACCTTCCTCCTCCTCAGTAAACTAATGATATTATAACATCAGAATTAACTTTTATGTAACATAATTTTTTTTAGAATTAAAAGTCTCTAATTTCTATGTGAGAAAGAAAAATATAAGTCATAACCAGGGGTGTGCTGGGGCAGGTTTGATCCCGTTCGCCTGAACCGTTTGTTAAACTTTGATTGCAAATATTTAGCAGTCAAAAGAAATTTATCTTGAAATAGTGCAAAAAGACCTTATTTTATTTACTATTAACTACTACAGTAAATGTTACACAAATTAGAGCAAGTTTATACTGACGTATCAAAGAATCAATTGGACACAAAGCCAACACAGTTTTATTTTTGTTCGACAAGAACCTTACATTTTAAATAAAGCCACTGAAATACAGCATTTTTCTTTCCCGCAAGTAGTTTCTAGAGGAAGTTTCTGCAAAACATTCTAGAACAATTCGTTCAAGAAGCCTGATTCGATCACTGCCTATATCTTCCCAACCCACCTGACTGGGACTGGTTAACCAAATCCCATTAAATGAACTTGCATATTTTAATGATTAAAATCTAGTGTCTTGTTTGGTTTAGCAAACCTGCCTTGGACAGTAGTCATCCAGATAGTACTACGTGTCACCAGTGTTGAGCTCAAGGTCGAACTGATCATGTTATTGTGCAGTGAACTTGTACTGCTCTGTTGAGACAGTCAGTATTTATTTCATACAGTTTACTGTAATCAAAATGAAGATAGTGTCTCAAGCAGTAGTAGGTGCAAAATCTCTTCTTTTTTTTTTAAGAAAAATTACTATAGTTTATTCTAAGGTAATGTGGTTATGTCATCAGTGGCAATCACCAATTTACACCACCATCTGAATCTCGACATTAATCAGAACCAGTTACTAATAAAATTACCAGCACACCCCTGGTCATAACTACAGTTTTATATGTTTATATCATCCCATTTTAAAATTAAAGGCTAATATATAAATATATTTGACGTAGATAAAAAAATAAATTATCTCCTATTATCTTCTAAACTCTCTCGCGTAACATGAAGTAAATAATGTCAAATCACTGGGTAGCACTAAAGGGAATTTGGTCAACTCGGTGACTTGAGGGCACCATGTTGATACTCAGCTGATGAAGAAGCTTTCATTGATGCTGCAGAGGGTGATAATAATGTTCATTCCGGAAAATTGGCATACATGTTTACCTTTGGATTATAAATGCAATCATTATGTGAGAGATAACCTGAGAAGACTTTCCACCCACTGAGTAACAACATGGCGCCTGGTTGGTCAAACTCTCAGTATCTATGCCTCTAGGAAGAACTATCTGCATCAGTGACATGAACCGCGTCATTAAACTTTTAAAAATTTCTAAGAAGTTTTCAAGATACTGTAATTGTAAGAATTTTTGTGTCATAGATGACTGCATGATCATGCGAGGGAACTTCCAGAAAGTACCAAAGCATGGGTTTCAGTTCTGCTATCCATCAGTATCCTCCAGTCAGCCAATTCTGATAGGTCACATTTATCCTTTTATCTTCTCTCCCATCCACCCCACAATTAGTCATATTAAAAGTCTAAATACATTGTTGGAAAGCTCATAAAATTCCATCTTTATCACCATGATAATACCTTGATAGGTTAGCGAGAAAATATCCGAGATACGATGCTAGGAACACAAATACTTTTTTCTAAACAGTATTTGGAGTGAAAAAATATTACAGTATCTTATTCTCGTCTTCTTTTTCTTCTTATGTTAAAGTCAAAACAATAATGAAGCCAGTGATGTATAAATCATGCCCCCCCCCTTCAAAAAAAAATTATTAGGGATAAATCGACTGCAGAATGAAAAATACCAGACCTCACTTGAGTGGTCCCATATGACTTTTGTTGTGGTCACAGAAACTTAAAAACCTATTGGATGCATGAGAGAGTTAACCATTATTCATTTTTTGTAAGTACAGTACAACTTTAGTTCTCATCTCCTTAATTAATTATCTACCACCAACTCTAACAAGAGAGAACTACAGTACTCCCTACACCTTGATCTAAATTTTATAATTTTCATTATATAACTTTCAAACCAGTAACAATGACTGTATTTACTTACCTTCTGCTTGCTTTGCTGCTGCCGACAGAACTTGACAGCCCTGCGGGTGAACCCTATCCTAGCCTCTAATGGAACCTTCTGAGAGCCCACATCAGACAGTACAAGTTGGTTCACAAATTTGACTACATCAGAAGGGTTCATTTTCTGTATGTAGTCTCCACATGATTCATATCTGAAGGTGACATTATATAAAATAATTTACCTGTGGAAGCACTACACTAGTGTATGTACTAATTACTGAAATTATCCCCAAAGTGAGTTATCTCCTTAAATTTCCATTTTTACAACAGTTAAATACCTCATACCTGGTTTTACTTATTACATAAAGTTTATTACTAAAGCAAACACCCATGTACCATATTAATACAGTAAATAATTAAAATCTTACCTGTGAATCCAATCACTGGAAGTCTTTGGTTTCTTGTCAGATGGACTGTCAAAGAAATACTTTTGTGCCCATGCACAATAAACTGTACTAGGTTCAATACCAGCTCCTTCCTTACATGGTACATTTTTGGCAACTTTGGCAAGGTTGTTGACATTTTCAGCAGTCAGGACTGGACGAAGGATGGCTAAGACATCAGAATTTGGCTTTAAAAGGAGTTTATAATTAAGACCTTCAGCTGAGCCTTTGAGTTTTTTCAAGAGTCGTATGTGAGACGTGGCCATCAGACTTTCTGATTCTCTACCACCACACTGCTCAACCAGCAAGTAGTACTGAAGAAGGCGTTCATGATCACAACCATTTACTGTAAGTAAGACATTTTGTTCCATGCATAATATAAACTCCTTTGGCTTCTCACTAAGGGTCTGATTTAACTTCTTTTCAATTATATGTTGTTTAAGTTGTGCAGTTGTGATATCGGAATCAAAGAGGTACTGGAGGTGAGTCATGTGCACCTGCCACAGTGATACCCCATACTTCTTAGCCAATGTTAGAGCTAAATCAAAAACTTCACTGTCCAGTGTCATAGCAAGGCCCAGTACAGTATCCTCTTTATAGCTGGCATCTGTTAAAAATCTGTCAATGTCAACCCCAGCACCAAGACGTTGGAGTGCCTGGCCCTGGACATAATCTGCCACAAGCTCTTCTGTGCTCGTGAATAATTCTACAAACTGCTTCACTTCTCCATTTAGTTCTGATATATTTAAGGCATCAATAGTAACGGACACATGAGCAATAATTTGTGATGGATCATGAAGAAAGACCGGAGCAATACTTGGCTCAGTCCATGGATGCAAACTTGTGTATATTTGTAGCGCGTAATAATACTGGGTCATCTGCAAATAAAAATAATTATTGTTATGTGAAATATTATTGTACTACAGTAGTAAGGTCTGCTGCATTTTCTTGATGAATTTTGACTCTTTGCTTATGTATTTTTACTATAGGTTGTGACAGTACAGTGGTATTGTAAATAAAATATTTCATTAGAAGTTTCAATCCTGCAAGTTATATTTTTGACATGCACGCACACGCACGCACACGCACGCACACGCACGTACGTACGTACGTTTAACGATTGGGATGCGTTCCTGAAAAATGGGGGTCCACTGACCTGATCCTGAATATTGTCATCAAGAAGATTATCCCTAATCCCAAGCTTATCTTAACTCAGGAGACAGGTCATGTGACCTGATTTTTTGTTCTATATCTCTCTCCCTTGCTTTGTTCTGTTAGTTGGCTGAAGAAGGTCCTCATATATCAGTTCCAAGAATTTGTCTTTTATTTTTCCAATGTGAGTTTTTACTTCATTTACCAATGTAAATATTATACTTTCCCAATATCATCTTAATATTATCAGCTCACTTTGCAATGTAGTGTTATATATATATTATTACTGTTTTATTTACTTTATTAATAGTGTTTGAACATTTGAAAAAATGTTTGCTCCAGAATGGAGATTTTTCCCAAAATTTCTGGAACACTTAAAAAACAATCGGCTATTGGGGAGTTCCGGGGATCAAAGATTCCGGCTTACAGAGAGATTACTGTTTCAATCACCCTGTACTGAAGACAAACGGCCACCAAATAAATTGTATACTGTATTTAAACAGATTACTCATTACTACTGGTTTCCTTTATAATCAAATGTGAGTATGACATAAACTAATGAATACATGAAAATATTCCCCATATATTAACATCTTGATGTATGGGAAATGGTTAATAAAATATAAAGCAGACAGATGTATACTGTACCTCCATAAGTTTGTGAACTGACTTAAGAAACTGTTACTTTTACCTGCAGGGAGACATCAGTACGTGGCAAACTTGACAACACAGCTCTGGCATCCTCAGGTTGTTGCAACATCAACAACAGAAAGAGACCAAGAGGCAAGTCTTCTCGTAGTACTTGTCGTGCAACCTCTGCCACCACTGTTACACAAGCATGGGAAATTACCATAAAACAATGATAATGATGATGAGTTAGAAGGATATCCAGCTGAACAATAATTTATTTGGTAATGAAGATCTTATCTGGTTATGAAACTCTTATCTATCGTAAATCTTATCGATCTTAATAAGAGTTCTTTCTCCTGCATGCAAAAGATGTATGATGAATTGCAGTGTGTCTTGAGAGCCAGTGTAATGTAAAAACTATACAATTTATTTAATGGTACACCAACAAATCTTATCATTCCACTGGCCTAAAAAAAAGCAAGTTCTTACATGGACTACTACAGTATACATTAAACTAACTGAATAATAAGAAAGGTGTGTACTACAGTATCGATAAAGTATAATTATTAAAATAAGACTTGGTTTCATTTGGTCAGCTGAAGAGTTACTGGAAACAACACACATTGTCTTAAAACTCTGGGATATATGTGGTGAACTCACTCCCTCACTCAAAAGAAAATTCCCTTGAACACAGGACACACAACTGTTTAACTTTCTCTCCTGAGACAATGGCTTCCACTTCTACAACACTGGACAAAGTGTACATGATGATAGCACAAGGGAATCTATTGAAGACATTGTGTTCTCTTAGTACAATCCAGACACCACAGAGGTACTCTACATGTATTATGGTCCCATACCAAGGGTGGTCCTGGCATATACAGTATATTCAGCTTATTGTGTAAGCATTAACTCTTTTTTATTGTACTCAACCTGAAATGATATGTCTCAGTGGAAATTATGAGAGGTAATAAGCTGCCATACCTGTTTTATTTGTCTTGATTGTGTTGCCCTGGGTGAGAGTCTCCTCAATAAGTGCAATGCGCAGCAGTGCCAGAGAAAACTCCAGAGCTGGGTTGCTAATGGAGGGCAGAGCATAGCTCTTGTAGCTGGCACCTAACAAAACAAACAATATTGATATATGGTAAGGACCATTAACAATGAGTTTTCAGACAGACTTGAAAAAGGTTCAACCTATATGGAATAAATCCTTTAGGAGGATATGATAACTGAATCTATAGATAGATTAACAATTTAAGAATATTCAAGCAAATAAAATTAAAGTACTTTTAAGTATTATATAGTAAAGTAGGTTCCTCCAGTTCTGACTATCTACACCAGTGGTTCCCCAACATGGGTCCACATACAGGTCATGGGGTCAATTGGGTCCCATAAAGCTCATAGTCCAGGTTTCAAGGATTGAAGAACGTGGCTGACAGGTGCTGTCTCATTAAGTCGGGACCATAAATTATGGTCAAGGGAATAATGCAGTTACTCTCCTTGTGTCAAGTCAGGTCAGTCCAGGGAAATTGAACGCTGGTGACACGTTATGCAGTTTAGGCACATGTAAAATACTGTATTGATTATTGTACTATAAGTTTGTCTTGAGAGAATCAAAATACTAACTGTGAAGTGTAAAAGAACTCACTTCAAGTATCAATAACTAACATGACAGTGAATAACACTTTACAGTACCTGTACAGATTTAATTCCAAAACTTATGTGTATATCACACACACACACTCAAAACATTTGAGACACTGTATTGCTGTGCACTTACAAGTACTTAATTAACTAAACACACAACTTTGTTCATGAGCATTAATTTTGGCATTTCAGTGATGACTTCTTGAAGGATACATATACTGTACTGTATGTGAGAGTTTTCCTTTTGCAGTTGAAAGATTTTAGTGCTCTGAATAGAGCAACAATATTATGCAATGTATATCTTTTATTGAGCAAAGTTGTGGCCTCAGCTGGCCTGTACATCTCTCCACTTAATTACCCATCATAATTAAAATAATCGGTAAGAGGCAATTTCAATTTAAATATAGCTTGTAGCTGTGTCATCATACTGTACTGTGCTATAATTTATGCATTCTGAAAATTGTAAATTGACAAACACATACTCAGCTTAAAATAGCAAAGCTCAGAAAAGTTCCAAAACAATTAAATACAATACAGTGTACTGTACAGCGCTAAATGTCTTACCAATAGAGCTAATATGGTGATTTGGAATAATGTCAGCATAAAAAGCATGGCAACCTTGCTGCTGAAAGTCAGCGTTGGTGTCTTCAACAAGCTGATCATTCTCTCCCTGTGATGATAGTTCATGTAGTGGCTGCATCCAACTGTCGCAAGAAGAAGCCAGGTTTGAGGAGAACTACCATAGCAAATATTAAATTCCTAACTGAATTTTCTGTAGTGTAAGTAAAGCAAAACAACCTAAAATTTATTTAAGTTTGATTATACCAAGAACGACCTTGAATCTTTGATTTGTGAACCCCAAAAGCATATTTACAGCCAATCAAAAAGTATCAAAACACCAGGGTCTGATGGAATAGAAAACAAATTAAATAACCTCACACACGTTCATGTACCAGTTGGGTTGGGATGATCTTCACCTGATATTTCATATTTTTTCTGAGGCCTGGGGTCACTGATGTTTAAGACATAGAAAGAGTGGTAACTGAGTGCAGTACAAGCACACCAGCTCTTTATTGTATGCTTTACCCCTACAAGACCTTATTTACTAGAATACAAAGGAAAATAGGATTTCTCTCAGTCGCTGTCATTCATTCACTCTAGCTGCTGGAAGAAATAATTTTTGTTATGGTATTTCAGTTCTAAATATTTTAATGCAATCAAAACTATCAATGGAGAGAAATATGATTAATTCAGCATCAATGTGGACTAATCATTTTAAGGTAAGTGAGTATTTAATGTACTTTTACATTTTCTTACTTTATTGCAGATTTCCAGAACTGTTTAGAGGCCACACTGGTGACCAGATTGGATGTGGTTGACGCTGTGACAGACAAGACCGAGCGAGTTACCCCTAAGGTGCCTTGCAACAACCCCTGATGCTCATCCATCTCATCTGAGCTGTCTTCTTCGCCATCCTCTTCATCCTCATCCGTCGGCTGTGGATTATTAGCAGGAGTTATATCTCCTTTTCAAATGATTCACTACTTTCCATAATTGTAAAAGCTTCTCTTGTTCCCCCAATAATCTTTGCAAAATTATCTTCATTCACTTTGTGTTGAACAAAACAACTTAATCATCTTTACCAAGACAGGTTATTGAAATTACTTCATTTTTGGGGGGGGGGGGAATAAGGCATTTCATTGTCATAAAGTTAATTCATATACATGCTGTCATATATATTTTTACATAATTTTACAGTGATGCTCAAGCAATGAAACCTGGATGTTATGATGACCAGAGAAGTATGACAGTCTGACCATTCGTACATTTCTTTAACATCACTGATCAGGATTCAAATTTTCACACACTCACAAATGGTTGGGAAGTGCACAAATTTCCTAAAATATTTTTGGTATTATTGGTGTCTTTACATCCATCAGCAAAATAAACATATACATTAATGCTAAATTATTTACCGCAGAGGATACAGTAATACCTGTATATATGTGTGGATGTTACCTATAAGATGCAACTGTCACTTGCTTCCTATTGTGTTAATAAAAGGATGACCTCCATAAGCTTACACAAGGAGGAAAATGGGAGGACTATATATATTGATAATTAAAGGGAAAATAAAAATGAATTAATTGGAAACAGAAATCTTCAGACCTTCAGCAGATAATTTCTAAACCTTAAAAATATGACAGAACATCCAGGGGGAGAGGGCTGGGCTGTGATTGTGACTGACAGAACATACAGGGGGAGAGGGCAGGGCTGTGGCGTGATTGTGATTCGATAAAACGATCATCAAAGCAATTAATTTATTTTCATTGTAAACCTAACACAAGTTGGTCCCCTGCTAGACAGATTCACTCTAGCCAAAAGAAGTGTTGATCAAACAGTTTTAGTCTCTTGAATATTGTTATATGAAAATCAGTAAACTCCTGGAAGTAAATATATAACTATGATGAGTGACTGTTGAGTAAAAGAAACAGAGTAACAAATAAATAAAAAATATAAATGTTTTACTTACAAATTGGGCTCGACTGCCGTCAATATGTCCTACGTGGCACAAACAAACATGACTGAATTCCTTACATTGGTTTCTGTAGCAACTTTTACTAGTACGTATAGTTCTGTCCTGTATCTTATATTTGCTGCTTAACACAAACAAAACCCTCTCACAGTTTGTCGGGCTGGGGATGACTTACATGAGACTTGGCATCCACAAAACCATCATCCGAGTCACAGGTGGTGTCTTCTGTGTCCATCTGGGTGTTGACCTTTGCATACAACATTGCCATTTCTACCTCATTTCTGCAATAAGAATACTGCCAAAGCTTCAAAATTTTCTACAGTACTCTGTTTCAACGAATAAAGTTACACAGCCTTATTGAAATAGAATACAGGTACCATGATATGTTGAACTCACTTTGTTTATCCAACTTATTGTGTAACATTGATCTCGTAACACTTCCCCAGAATAAAATGGAGGAAAGTCACCAGAAATTCCCTTTTATAGATGGAGGTAAGAGACAAGAGAGTAGTGAGGTTAGAACACAGCTTGATTGAGTCCAGCAGAGCTCCTCGACCACCCACCAAATCAAGGCCGGATCACCAATTTAAACTCCCACTAAGAAACAATAGTGAAATATAACAGTGGATGTGATAAGATGTTTATAAGTGAGAGAAAAACACATCTGTAATATTACTGAAGATACTGACAAATTATGCTAGTTTTTAAACTACAGTACTAAAGAATATTTATATTCCCCAGATAAAAATAATGTATTGTAGTGTTTCACCTAGAAAAAAAAAATAATAATCAAAACTTAATTTATAAATATTTAAATGTACTGATGCTATTGCATACATAGAGTTGTATCTGATAATAAATATTCGTTATCCAAAATGCGTGTGAATCATAAATGGATTCATGTTTTGAAAATATTTTGAATACCATTCATTCATCCACTTTTCTTCATGTAATGCAGCAGTGAAAGATTCATATACAGGTACTGTACTGCTTATAAAAAACTCATACAGTTAAGAATAATACTTCTAAAGTGTCTCATTGAAACAACTTTACACTATATACTGGACTGTACTTATTTAAGTATGTACAGTACTTGGTGTTATATCTGATGGTGAAGTCATCCACTGTTTTACCACTTCCCAGCATCTGATTATCTGCATTTGGTCAAGAAATATATACGATACAGTACATGTACTGTACATCAGGAACTTAAAAACATATATAAATGAGTTATATGGTATTATATGAGAGGACCTTCTATGTACAGTATGCACTACAGTATATATCTTACCTGGCATTAAGAAGGTCTTCCAGATGACTAGGGGTGGCATATGTAAGGGCAAAATTGAGGAACCTTGCCCGAGCAACAAGGTTGGCATACTGGTGAGCTCGACCCAACTGTTCGCACACAACCCAGCCCTCGTGATGGTTCCCTGACACCAGCTGCTCACACACACTGCTGGCCACCACAAAGTCACCGGCCTGTAAGTAGTTAATCTGTTAGCAATGTACAGTATATCTTGGGTGTGGAGAAGACAGCATGAAGATGGCAAATTCCACGTAAATTTGTGATCACTGTTATACAGAAATAATGTACAGCATTTTTTTTTATGGATAAGCCAGGGAAATTTATTTCTATATACAGCAGAGTAGACCCATTACAGTATATCATATTACCTTATAAACATTATATTCTTACTGATTCCAACTGTAAAGCTGACAGTCCACGCATACAATGGCTCCCTCACTCATACATTACCATACCCACACAACACTAATCACAGAGGGTCACTGGTGAAAGGTGAGGAGGAGGGTGGGGAGAGGTACGGTGTAGTAAACCATTACACTAAGGGAGGCTACTGGCATAGTATACAGACATACAAGGATACACATTGAAGACAATGGCAAAGTATACAAGTCTTGATTATCACATCCTGTAAGCCAACAAGCTGCCTTAATCAACATAAACTGACACATCACAATAAGCAGTTATTAGGTGGCGTTCTCGTCTACTAAAACAACTTTCATTTAGCCCCATACACAAATAACATTAGTTATAAGAGACCACTCAAGAACCTGACACTGTAAATAGTACTACTGCACGCACACACCTCTTGTTACTCTTAAAGGTTGGCTGAACCTACATGTGTGTACACTTCCTTTTTTCACCTGTACACATGCACACATGAAATTCAAAGTTGGTGCCATAGGCCTGACAGCACATTATGGGCAGTGTAAATACTGTATAGCACAAGGAATACTAAACCTTTCCTACACAAGAAAACAGTGTTGCCAGCACTACACTTGACTGCTTTTACTTCCCTAATAGTAAAGTTAGGTAACCATTCAGAGCAGGAGGTAAGTACGATAACAAGTCAGCCACTGCACTTCCATCCACATGTGCTGTACCTGCTTAGATAACCACATATCCACCCAACTACCCTCCCCCCACACAGGTTCTTGTGATCCTCATAACAAACATATCCACTCACCCACACAAATCCACCCAGCCCCCACCAACCCATACATCCACCCAGTCCCCCCTCACCCACACATATCCACCCAGCTCCCAACCCATACATCCACCCAGTCCCCACTCACCCACATATATCCACCCAGCTCCCACCAACCCATACAACCACCCAGTTCCCACTCACCCACACATATCCACCCAGCCCCCACCAACCCATACATATCCACCCAGCTCTCACCCACCCATACATATCCATCCAGTCCCCAGCCACCCAGCCACCACGACCACCCACCCACTCATATCCTCCCTCATCCCCCTATTCATATACATCCAAGACACACCCATATCTCCCACATCCACCCACTCACACCCTTACATCCAGACAAGGAGAATGTGAGAGCCATCAGCCAACAAGTCATTTCAGAGGTCGACTGATACCAAGAGTAAATGTTAAGTCGAAAAGTGACAATGGCGGCCATGATGGTTTATGACGTCACTTGTGTTGTTTGCTTACGCCCAGGATTATCTTTGTTTCGGTGTCGTCAAGTGTTGTCTGTTTACACACAGGCCATTTTACGTTTGGGTGACGTCAACGAATACTGTCGTCAGCTGATCTTCGTTGTCACATTCCTTTTCTCCCTTTCTTCTCACTATCACCCTGTTTCTTGTATTCCGTCTCTCCCTCCCCCTCCCCTATCTCCCTTTCTCTCATCCAGGAGACCCACACATCATCCATCACCTCCACCAACACAACCACACCATCCATAACCTCCACCACCAACACAACCACATCATCCACCACCTTCATCACATCACCCAACACCCTCGGTTCATCAAGTCATGTGTCACTCATATCCTCGTTATCATCACTTTTTGTCAACCCTGTTATTATTTACGAGGTTTAGTTCTCATTAATTACAGGTTAAATTAACAGTGACCTTCATTTTTCTCCCTATTAAATCACACATACTACCCATCTAAGTGTCATGGAAGACTCATGCTTCTATCTCTATTGTGTAAGGGGGATACAGTTATAAAGAGTTTCGTGCTTCAATTGCAGAGAAGAGAACCTAGAACTGGAGAGGGCTGAGTCTTAATGCTGTCTCGACAATAGTGTGGCGGATGTCTATGTGTCGAGGCCTAAGTCAGCTCAAGTACACTCTTAAGAGATCCTTTATATGCCCACTACTTGTTCAAAGTGCTCAATACCTGTCAAAAGTGAGCCACAGAGAACTGTTCGAGCAGCTAATAAGAAAAGTGACGACATAGTGACTAAGTATGTTTGGTGCGTTTCCAAGACTCCATGGGGCTCACTAACCCACGGGTCTTGTGTCCAGGCTAAGAGGGAGACTTTCCCAGGTCAACACTCGTCACCGTGACAAAACTCCGTCAGTCGTCACCGAGCGGAACGACTCTCAGCTTGGCAACAATTAATAAGGAGTGTAGCGGCTCCACACCCAGGTAAATGAGCTCTCTTCTCCTCACTTTCGCTCGATGTAACTCTCATTTCTCTCCCCAGGTCTTCCCTCTCGCCCTAGGTCCTGTGAAGGTTGACCCAGGCTGACCTCACCAGCCACCAGCCCGCTACTTACAATTTACTTTCCCTCGGGTTTATGGCATCACAATTCGCCTCGCTACATTTTTGTATCCCGGACAGTATTTATTTCAGTGTTGCGTTCCTTTTGCAGCGTCCCATTTGCCTTCCTTCTTTCCTCTCTCTCCCGGGCCAGTGACCTAGAATGTGACCCCCAAGTGACCCAAGAGTCGTCAGGTCATTAGTACCTCTGCGACACAATTTTTCCCTGTCACTGTTACACAACACTCGTGTAGGAGGCTGCAGGAGGCGGAGTAGGACTCTATGAAAGCATAGCTAAAGTATCACGTATAAAACAACACAATAATTTTCATACATCAGTCGTACATGTATGAGGTAAACACACACCAGCAGGTTTATTTTCAACTTGAAAGGAAGAGGTGAGACAAGTGTCGCTGTCGGAACTGCTCACCGAGGTGTCCCCGTGTACTGATGCAGGTAATGTGACAACAAAACACACTGAGGGAGGGAGACGAGGTCCACACAAAAGCCCCCTAGGATAAAAGCCCCACCGACAAAATCCCCCTGGACAAAACCCCTGTTAAGGTGCAAGACAGGTTAGGTTAGGTTCATAAACTGTAAATGATAAAGAATAAAAATAAGGATATAAAAATTCCTATTATTTGTGCTAAAGGACTTTTGTCCAGGGGGCTTTTGTGCTACACTCGAGGGAGACAAGATGTGATCAGAAGTAGAGGATTCTGAAATACTGTCTAGTGGTCCGGGGGTCTGGACCAGCTCCCCCCGCTGCCGGTGGTGTTAATATTGAACAAAAACATCATAAGGTGTATTATTTTCTGCGACCATCAACGCGGATACACCCCAGTGAGGGAGTACACAGGATATACATAATACAACACCTTTGATACTGTCGACCATACCATCCTCTTGGCAAAGCTTGAAGACTACGGCCTTATGGGTATATCCCAAAATTGGTTTACCTCATATCTGTCTAACAGGAAGCAGTATGTCTGCTATAATAATCATCAATCTGACTCCTCACCAATTTTATATGGCGTCCCTCAAGGTTCCATTCTGGTCCTGTACCGTTCTTGTTGTACATAAACGATATACTGTAGTCCACTCCAGCACACTCATAAGATACAAATTATTTGCAGACGATAATAATCTTTATGCCAGCAACTCAGATCTCCATTCCTTGATGACAACTATGGGCATTGAATTGACTAAAGTCAGGACCCGGGTAATACATAATAAACTGACCATAAACCTCGAAAAAACCCACTACACAATCTTTCACAGAAGGAAAAACCTAACCCCAGATTTGGACCCCCTGTACCTTGGTAATGCAGTCCTCAAACATGAACAAAAATACTAAATTCCTTGGAGTTATTGTTGATGAGAAACTTAGCTGGAGAAACCACTTACAAGCCAAACAACCACAAGCGTTTTTGGTATTTGGTGAACGTTCTTTATGAGAAAGTGTACGACAAAGAGTCTCTCTCTCTCTCTCTCTCTCTCTCTCTCTCTCTCTCTCTCTCTCTCTCTCTCTCTCTCTCTCTCTCTCTCTCTCTCTCTCTCTCTCTCTCTCTCTCTCTCTCTCTCTCTCTCTCTCTCTCTCTCTCTCTCTCTCTCTCTCTCTCTCTCTCTCTCTCTCTCTCTCTCTCTCGTAAACACACACACACACATCCATACACACATAAAAACAAGTACCCCTAACCGCACAGGCACATATCAAGAAGCGCTCAACACACTGACCCTTTCGACTCTCACTGACCATCACCACGACCTCATCTGCAAATTTGGTAAGCTTCTACACCATCTCACAGCTCCTACTACCACCTGAGATCCCTAGTCCGAGAATGTTCGGCTTTTAACCGCATCCAGCCCATACGTGCACCCGAACTGAGATCGCTATAAGAACAGCCAGTCCCAACCATTGTAAAAATTATCAATAACTTGTAATAAACCAGTGTATTCACTCCCAGTAAACACTACTCCTTGCCCTGTCACTATGTTGAAATGAACTGTAGTTTGAGCTTTTCCCCATCTAGTTATTATATATCTTATTTGTGTCACTTATGTTACTTGTATATTATTTGTAATTCGAAACCCATTCCCCAAATATGTAACTGTATATTTTCAGCCTTCTGGCTGCCAAGCTCTTTCAATAAACCGTTAATTATTATTATTATTATTATTATATATAATGGTCGCGATAGTCAACCCAGGGAGTCAGTTACGTGGACCTGGCGTCACACACAGAGTGAAGTAGTCAACTCAGGGTGGCGGTGGCGACCCATACAATACAGTAACTTTCTCTAGAAAACAGCGTCCACCTTCTACTGTGTTACTACAGATTAGCGCCTACGTGTGAGAGAGCTGAGGGGTGTTAAGGGAGACGAAGACAGGAAGGGAGGCAGGATGGAATGGAGGAAAGAAAGAAGGGAGAAA